GTCCCTTGGTTCCAGATGAATGTAAAGTTTCCTTTCCCATTAAACTAGGATTTAAGACTGAAGATTTGCCTATCTCTTGGGTCTTATTTTAGAGGCCACAGTACTTAGGAGATCACAGTACCCTAGAAATACAGATTTAGCATTTTAGGTTCCCTTGCTTCACTTTCCTAAACATTTCCACAAATCCCAGTGCAGGACCCGCCAACTTGCCATTTTTCTTTTTTCTCTTCACTTTATACACACTCATCTTTCCTAAGGACAGGTCTGACCTTACTCTGAAGGCCAAAAGCTCAGTGAATTATGAGAGTTTCTGGTGGAAATTCTGGTAAAAAATAGCTCTTCATAAGTCCAGTACCAATGTTTCCAAAACTGTAAGTCAGGAAGTACCCCTCCCTCCTTCCCTCCCCCTCTGTCCCCCCCCCAACACACACACACAACACACACCTTCCTATAATATATTCCTAATACCTTTGAGACTCTACTGGCCAGATATGTACTGGGTTTGATCTAGGATGGCAATTCTTATGTAATTCTAAATTATTCTAAAGTAAAGATTTTTGTCTTTTAAAATTTTCTCATGTTTTATTTAAAGAAGAAATTCTACATTTTTTCTTCTACTTAAAAAATATACCAAGAAGTCCAAAGGGGAACAACAGCTGCCATAAGAACCAGTTTATACTCAACTCATTCCATGATGTGGCAGCCTCATGGATATGTTGTAGCTAAATTGCAGAGGAAGAAGCTAGCCTACTTCCCTCTAAGAGAGAGGAAACCTAAAGACAGTAAAAAAAAGTGGAATTGTGTGCTTAAAAGAAATACTCAACAAGTGGATAAATAAATGGCCATCAGGTATATTTCACTTATCAAATTAAAAAGAATTGAAAAATAATAAAACCCAATACTGGCAATGATATAAGAAAATAAGCACTCATATTCTTTTGGTAAAAAAAAAATACTAACTTGGAATAATTTGAAGGCAAATTTAGCAATACATATCAGGAGCTTTAAAACATGCATGCCTTCTGATTTAGCAATTTCACCTCCAGAAATCTATTCTAAGGGGAAAAAGAGAGATAATGAAGAATCCAGCTTATTGGAACTTTGTTATAACATTGATTGCAAGAACAAAAAATTAGAAATACCCTAAAGACTAAATAATAAGGAACTGGTTAAATAAATTATGATACGTAACACTAATGTTATTGATGAAAAGGGGAAGGAAAAGATGTTTATGATAGCTGTGTGAAAAAAACAGCAACAACAAAAAAACACCAGTATGTAGAATGTGAGCTTATAATTACAAAATAAAACCCCCCAAAAACAAAATAACAACAGCAACAACAACAAAGCACACACACTAGAAAAACTTCTTGATCAGGAAAAGCTAAGTTTATTAGAGTTATGTCAATAAAAAACACCTTCTTGATAGAGTCTTGGTAGTATTTCACAGGGGGGAAATTGGGGGAGGGGATATTTATAGAGGTTTAAGGCCAGAGCTGAGTGATTACAAGGTGGGTCTTACCAGGTTGGAAACTGGTCGGGATTGGACAGTTTATGACATAGGAACTTTGGATTGGTGGGCACAGTCAGGTAAGGTCTTGAAGCAAATATTGTTGAGCAAGCTGTTGGTCTTGATAAGTAAGCAAATATTTTCTGGAAAAAGTAGCAAGATATTTTTGTCTGGTCCCAGGATTGTTTGGCACAGAAACAGGAAAATATGCTTTGCCCAAAGATGTGTATCATAAAGACAGGGGAGTATATTGGTTTTGGTTCTAATAATAGCTCTTTTTTTTGTTAAAAAGCTATTCATATTTCTATTTCTATCTCACTAGAAAAAAGCCTAGGAAGCTAATCATTTACAAATATATAGTAGTTATCTCTGGGGGTAAGGATTACAAATGTTCTTTAATTTCTTCTCTGTATTTTCTAAACTCTCTCTAATGAACATATATTCAGACACACAAAAAAAGATGAGTTTGTTTAACCTTTATTTAGCCCGATAATTCTAGGACTAGAGAGTCCCCCTCATCTCAAAGCTTCTAATCTGTTTCTAAATATAATACCCAATCTAGACAAAATTTTGTGGCCAGCTTGGGAAACTGGCTAAATCATTACCTAATCACAACCATGTGATCCAATAAGCTCTAGGCAGTTTTTCATCGATAGACAGATAAATGCTGTATGGACTGTTTTAGAAGGATCCATTCTTCAGAAGTATATTGGAAACATATTTAACTAACACGAATACCCATTTCTCCCCTCAGCTCTCTGTTATCACTCCATTTTCAGAATTATAGTATAGTGGGTGTCAGGGACTCCAGGGAAATAAAGAGTGAGCTCCGAGGTGAACCCAGAAGTCTAGAATTCTGTCTCATGAACTCTCCAGCCAGCCATTAAAAAATATTTTCAAACATCTCATACTTCCTGAATGTTAGACAAGGTGAGACGTGGCACAAAAATTGGATAACCTACACTCCATCCCTTTAACAGAACTTAGTGTTTTAATTGGGGAGAGGGTGGTGAGGAGTGACTAACACACAGGAACAATTCCAGGTAGGCACTAAATGGCATGCAACCAAGCACTGCTCCACAGGTGGAATAGTACTTGATCCTACCTATGCTGGTCTATATTACCATATGTGTATTATGCATCTCTTGCAGTTTATAGACTCCCAGTCCTATATAAATACAAAGATATGAAAGTTTGGGGCATTGAGATATTCTAGTTAAAGAAGGGTTAAACTCAAATTTAAAAAATTCCTGTACTGTTCATTGACAATCTTTCCAAAACTTGAGTCTGCTTTACTTTCTACATAATTAACTGCAGCTTAATCAACCTAACTGCAGGGCCCCAGGGTCATTTTTATTGCATATAGATGTAGATTTCATTAGGTGTAGACTAGGAAGATAGGAGACTGACATGGGTGTGAGTTGACTGCTAGATAGCCCAAAATTTACTTTAAGAAAAAAAAATACCCACATTTTCAATATCCATGTATTTTTTGGTGATCACCTTGTTTCTGTTAAAGAAGACCAGAGTGAGCCCTTCCAATGGAATGAAATTCCAATTGCTTGAAATGTCATTCCTCTCAAAATAACTCTTTATTACCAATAAGTACTCTTCATCAGGGATCTCATCATCTCATAGGCAAGGGACCTTAATAACCCCCTTGGGGAAGTGGAGGCCCAGAAAGGGGCCTTGCTCAAGGTAACATAGTAACTTAGTGATGGGCCTATGATTAGAATCCTGATGTCTTTATTTTCAGTCCTTAGCTTCTTACTTTTCCAGTCTGATTCCCCATGCCTTTCCAAGGAGATTCTGGGGGAGTTTAGCTACTAGATATAAAATAAAAGAGACACAGCACAAAACCTTTGATATAGTCTCATTTCCAAGTTTGCATTTTGGAAGTTTCCCTGGAACAGGACTCAGTTCTCCTCAATGCAAGGCATGGTCGTTGCCACTCATATGCCCCTAGGTGTCATCATAGCACAGATGCAGAGCAATGAAATCTCCCATGCCCCCAACCCTGGGTCAGCCTGTAGAGTCCACCGTCTTCATTCAAACAATGGAAACATATAACACATCCTGGGAGAGCAATGTGATGATCTAATGGGTATTAACAACAATAACAACAACACACTTGGCTAATGTGCCACAAGAGATGCCTTTGGCCATTCACAATAATAAACAAACAAGCAAACAGACAGACAAGTCTACCCTCAAACAATGTGGGATATATTACAGAACTGGCAATAGAGTTTAAGCCAGTTTCAGAGTTTGCCAATTCAGCAGTTCAGCGATCCCATTCATGACCCAGGCTCTCCCCATTCCTGAGGCATTTTGCAGAGTGTTGCCTTTGCCCTGAGGGTTGCCCATCATGGTCTCTAGAGGATGGCAGCAGACCCAGGCCTCACATCTGCATCCAGAGGCAGCACCAAAAGCAGAGACTTAAGGAGTCACTTTCTTAAGGAGATCTTTCTCATTCTTCATCACATATCTCCTCACAATACTGGGTGGGACTTGGTCAAGGGCCCACTCTGAAACCAACCACAGCTAGGAGGGTGGGCTCAGACCCGTCATGATTCACCTCTGGGACTGGGGTTGGAACCACTCTCACCTGAGTCGCATGAGAGGAGGGAGGGAGTGGTTGGTGGGAAGGGAGCGGGAGTGGGAGGTAGGCTCCTGGCCGAATCAGAGCTCTGCCAGAGGAAGACGACGGGGTGGTCGGGATGGAAAGATGACCATCGACAGCACCTGCTACACCCGCTCTGAGGCTGCCTCTTCCACCAGGACTCATTCCCTAGGTCAGGTGTTCCATCCCTTCCCGGGTAATGAGAAGCTAGGTGCTGACAGAGCGTGGAGAACATAGGGGTCTGCCAGGACCTTCACACATTTTAGCAATGGGAATGCTCACAGAGGTCCTTATCAGGTATTATGTTGACTTCAGGTAAACTTACTGAGGACTCTGAGGGCCTGGATCCAGTCAGTGATGTGGTGCTGAGGGTAGAAATTTCAGGTCAGGAATGCTGAGAGGGCTTGGCCACTGAGGACCAAGCTTTGGGTGAAGGTAGATAAATATTTTAAGGCATTCCTTAAATCACACCTGGACTGTCGCTGTTGGCCTGCCCCCAGGTACTACAGTACAGGTAGGAAATTGAAATAAGAAACCTGAAGGAATATCAGTATATTTTTTTTACCTAGCCCATGTACTATGATAGACTTTTAGCCTTGCTAAAATAAAAACTAGTTTTTGGAAGGCTGGGTCACAAGCTTTTTGCTTGTCCTTCTCTTTCTCCACCTTTCTTTCTTGGCTTTTAATTTTGAGGAGAATTCACACATTTTCTTTTGAACAATTTATTTTATAACTGGACGTTTGTATTTTCTTTTATAATGGGAAATAAGATAACCCTTATTTGGAAAAAAAGAGATATTTCATATTGTCCTTTAAAACAGCCTAGGAAATCCCCACCTCAAATAAGACATCTGTTGATTGCTTTTATAATATTAGAAAATAAACCAACTTTATTTGAATCAGTTAATACCAATCAAGACTGGGAAACAAATTTATAACTGGTTGAGATTCATGAGGAAAACACTCAGCAATATCTTCATTAAAAGGCATTTTACATTTATTAAGGCCTGAAAGCCAGTCCTGTTATTTTATCACCACAGTTAAAGGTCTTGAGAAAATTAAGGAACCATCATTTGGAGTGTCTTTGTAAAATGAAATGTTTGTTCTTTTATAAAAGCTAGGCGTCTTTTGCTAAATTAGTTAACTCCCTAGCTTATAAAATGGGACAACCAGTGGAGTCAGTAAAGTAAGACAAGTTCAAACATCAGCCGGAGATTTTGTATTTTAAATATATATATAGTCAATATAGTGAAATCTCTAGCTATACCTAAAATACCCTAGATAATTGGATCTTTAAAACTATGTTTCGCCATAAAACAGATTGCTTTTATAGAAACACAGATTAGCCCAAATCCTATAATGAGGCAATCTTTTATTTTATGTTTGGATGGGGAGGGGGAGCATTGAATCAAATTTCCTTAAGTAATATTAAATAAAATTAAGCATACTTTGGATTATACCCAATTATGAAATGAAAGTATCCTGAAACTAAGCTGGGAGAAGAATATTGACCAAGGGAGAGGAATGTGCATTCATGCAGAGGGCACACGTGGTCTTGTTTGAATGCTAAAGAGCAATGAATAGAAGATAACAGGTCTCGTGTGCAAAAAAAAAATAATAATCTGAAAGGAATATTATTTAAAAATACTCTGATTAATCTGGTCATAAGACATTAAAGCTCTAAGTCAATAGTTGTATTATTTGATAATCTGCTATTGAAATAAAAAGATATTCCTGAATTAATATCCAGAAGTGCCTTCTATCTCTAACTCCTCCCCCTCTTTTAAATGGTTACAAGTGATCATATAACTGCCCCCCACTCAGTGCCTGTTAATATTGCTATTTATGTAAAACTAAGTCAACCACAGAAGGAACATCTAGAAACAACAATATTGATTTGGTTTGGCTTGTGTGTTTTTAAAGACTGCTTTTAAAGACTCGCCAACTGTTGAATGCTAAGTATCAAATCAGGGTTCGTTGTATTTTCCAGGTCCTCTGGGGGAGCCGGTCCACCTGGGCGTCCTTCTGTTTCTGTGTTGCACTGGCTGTGTTACATGGATGTGCTGCATTCAAGAAGAATGCCACCGTGGGTCTCAGGAAAGTAAACTGCCTCTTAGGTCATCGTGCCTGTGCTGTGAAGGTCAGGGAAGAATGTGGTGGGACAACAGGATTTCACCCTAATTAAAAGGCCTTTGGGATCACTTAAGCTTTCATACCCCAGGAGGCCCATTTGGGGCTTTCCCCTACAGTAAAAAGGACTATTTCCTCACCGGGTCTTTTTAAACACCTCCGGAGACAAAGTTTCCAGGCAGCTCTGGAAAGCTTCCTTTAGAGGTGGAAATAAATCAACTCATTCTACTAGGATAAAAAAAAAAAAAAAAGCTCCCAGGCTTACAAAATGTCCTACTGATAAATTTCCTGTTCCTCAGTGGGCTAAAGGAGACCCCCTGCTTCCGCCCCTCTGCTCTGATCAATGGATCACTTTTTTTTTTTTTTGGTTCAGAGATGCCTGTAGGCAGATAGGTCCAGGGATTGCTTGGGTTAGGAAGTGCCGATGTTTCTATGGATAAGACTCATGGTATCCTGCCCTCCCTGAGCAATAAGCCAAGTCCTTGGAAGCTACTCTCCACCAGAGGAAGGGAGGATTGGTGAAGGTGAGGGTGTGTGGCAGGTGGGTTTCCTCATAAGGTGTTCACTGGGAGACGGAGCTGATGGTTAGTTCATTTCTCTTAGTTTCCTCTGCACAGGTCCCCATGCTTAAGCAGGGTAAGCTTTTAAGGAGGTAACACTCAAGGAGACTAAGGAGCACAAAATTAGCTAAAAAAACAAAACAAACAAACAAAAAAAAAACGGTTTCCTTTTTTTCATCTGGTAGTTGAGTCATAGGGCAGGAACATTTACCCAGATGGGCATATATTTTTCTTCAAGTTCAAACCACATGGTTTCCCAGTCAGAAAGGCTCATGGACTTTCTTCCTAAGGTTCCATGATCATGCCACCTTTTAACTACATGTCTCACCCATCAGAGGCTGCCTGAGAGCAGCCAACTAGCAGACCTGCATCTAGGAACAACTTGTAGACACTGGAAAGTCATTTTTGGCCAATTCTTGGGTTTTGCTAATGGGTTGGTAGTTACATCACCAGTTCAAGACTTAGTTAGATCATGAGAGAGAAGACCTGTCTCAAGAATTCCCAGGGAACATCGAGCATCATAAAGAACTTCTTCATCCTCACCCATCTCTCCATCTCCCACACCCATTTGCTTTCTCACGGACCAAAATTCACTCGTGGAGAAACATCGTCAAACCCAAGTATATAATCCCCAACAAAACAACTACCCCTAAGCAAGCAAACCCCGTGGTTGGTAGACCCCCGTGGGCCTTTTGGCATCTACACTGCTCCCTTTCCCCTCCCCTTCCCAGTCACCCCCATTTGAAATCGCGTGCCAATTTCCTTTCCTGGCAAGGCCTGGACAGCATAAAAATGAAGGTCAGCATCAGTCAAGTGCACAATAGCATCACGACATTCACAGCATCGGAGCAAACTGAGACTGTGTCTGCAGTGGTTTTTCCAATCTGGCCTTCAGTGCCCAAAGTGACAGGACTGTCAAAGCATTGAGTGGCTTAAGGTGTGTCTGCCAGATGCCAAAATCCACAGCCTGCTCTGTCCTTCTCCATTCACTCTCTTTGTCTCCCCTAAGAGCAGTGATTTCTGTCTAAGAAGAACTCAGATGGCATTTGGCCTTGGCCTTGGAGTTACTGACAAAGAGGAGGGTGGAAGAGGACACAATACTGCATGTTTCCAATGCATCTGAGAGATATTTTGAGATTGGCAGAAGGGGCCAGTGCCGGTCCCACACGTGGGTTCTCCAACACTGACCCCAGATACCCTGAACCCAGACAAGGCTCAAAGGCTGAGAGCTTGACTATTTCTAACATTTCTGCTTGCAGATTCCTGTGTGATCAGATGGGGTTAGCGCTGACCTTCACAAAAAGACAGCAGGCTGAAATTCTGATGATACCAGCAAGGTGCGACCTGATTTAAAAAAAAAAAAAAGATGTTTCCCGAGGCAATGCGGAAGAGGAGTCTGTGTGTGAAGCGGAGTCCTTTGGGAGAAGCTGAGTCCTTCTGCAGCAGCGATGGGGCAAGATGGCCGTGCTCACGATCTGCTGAGGCGCTTGGCGACGTCCGCGTAGGCCAGCTCAATCTCGGAGTCAGCTGCACAGGTGTTGGTGAACTCGTCCCTGGCGTAGGCGTTCCTCATGTACCGCCTCAGGGCTGACATATCAAACGGGATATCATAGTCACGGTATTTCTTGGCCACAATCTGTAACAGAGATGGAAGGACAGAGAAGGTGTGAAGGCATGAAACAGATCGCTGAGAAGGTGTTGGTGTGACCCAGTGTGTGTGCGCAGCAGGAAAACCTTCCATGCATCACAACGGGGCCAGCAGCAAAATGTGTGTAAGGCAAGGAAGGGGGCAGTGCTCCTTTATTTTTATTTATTTTGTTTTGTATTATTTTCTTTTATATTCCTTAAGTAACTATAATTTGCCCTTTGACCTAGTGATTTTCCTTAGGAAATAACCATAGATGTACACAAAGATGTAGTTACACATGTATGATCAGAGGACTATTTGGAACAGCAAAAAGTGGTACGCAACACAAATGTCCAGCAATACACGAATGGGTAAATATATTATCATATATAAATACAATGATGTCCTGGTGAGCCGTTCAAAATGATGCTGCAGAGGAAATTCCGGTGATCTGGGAAACTCTTCAAGACAGATCGCTAAGTTGAAAGTGCAATATCATACATTTGGAGAAATATGTATGATGACTACAAGTGTATATACCAATATATTACCAGTGGTTATGCTAATGAATAAATTACAGACATTTTTTTTTTCTGTTCTTCCTTATCCATTTTATTTTACATAAGCATCTTTATAGGAGGGAATGAAAACATAAAAACTTAGTTAGAGGGCCGGCCGAGTGGCGCGATGGTTAAGAGCTGGCTTGGGACGCCAGAGGGCCC